GAGCAAAGGGGGTGGGGGGGGGGGGAGCAGGGGGGGTTGTGAGGGGGGAGGAGCCAACGGGGAGATTGTGGTGAATGCAGGGTCTGTGAGGCGACTGAAAGGCTGTAACTCGAGTAGAGCTGGATGAACACAGCAGGCCAACCAGCATCACAGGCGCAGGAAGGCTGACGTTTACGATTTTCCGACGATGGGTCTAGGCCCGAAACGTCAGCCTTCCTGCTCCTCTGATGCTGCTTGGCCTGCTGTGTTCATCCAGCTCTACACCTTGTTATCTCAGATTCTCCAGCATCGGCAGGTCCTGCTATCTCTGAAAGGCTGTACCTGTCTGGTCGAAGGGCGCTGCGGGGCGGCGCGGACACTCGGCCCGTTGCGCTCGGCTGTTGGCCGGCCTGTAACCGGGGGGCAGCGCGGGCCCGATCAGCGGCGCCTCCTCCGCCGACATAGCAACACCGACCTCCCCCCCCCACCCCCGATCCCCCTCACACTCCGGTGGGGGAGGCACCGGGAACTGCCGCACCAAGATGGAGCCCTCCTTCTCGCGCAATCTCATGGTCCTCCCGCTGCAGCGACCCCCAGAGTCTGGGAGGAACCGAGCCGTGGTGTGTATGTGTGTGACGTCTAAATGAAGCGCCGACACATGGTGAGCCGCTTGAACGGGGAAGAGGTGTCTGTTCGCTCGCCCAAGGATGAGCCAGTCCGGATGTTACCCGCCACCTGTTTTCAGCCCTCCGGTTCGGCTGCTGCGGCCTCCGGTTTTTGCGCCGCCGCCTGTGGCTTGGCAGCCGCCCCCCTGGAACGGGGGAGCGCCGTCCTGGTGCGGACCGCCATGGGGAATGGGGGCTGGGCAGCGCCCCTCATCCTGGTTAAAGGCCTCGCACAGCAGAAGCAGCCAGCTTCAGGGTAAAAACAATCCCCCCGCCTCGCGTCTACAGAATCGTTGCAGAAGGTGGCTGTTCGGGCCATCGAGTCTACAATGCCTCTCCAGATGAGCATTTCACCCAGCGCCATTCCCTTGCCTTCTCCCCCTGCACTTTGTTCCTGTTCAGATGACAAACTAATTTAATTCCTTTCTGCATGTCTTGCTGCTTCCACCATGCACCTGCGCTGTCTTAGCCACTTGTTGGGCAATAAATCTTTTGTTTTCCTCATGTCGTTTTTGCTGCTATTGCCATTTATTTTAATCTATGCCCTCTTGTTCCCAATCCTTTCACAAGCGAGAACAGTTTCTCCATATCTCCTCTGTGCAGACCCTTCATGATCTTGAATGCCTCATCAAATTTCCTCTCCGCTCCAAGGAAAACAGTCCTGACTTCCCCAATCTATCTCCATACATGATCCTTATCCTTGGAAGCATTCTTGGGAATTGGGGAAGTTTGATTTATAATTCCATGGGAATTAGAACTGCAGAAAGAGCACCTTGGGAAAGCTTCTCCAATACATCATCTGAGGCATTGCTCATGGCGATTTGGAAACTATGTCAGGAAGCAAGAATGACAATTGCGTGCTAGATGCAATACTCTTAATCTGGAGATTTGTTAGTGTCACAGCTGTATTCATAAAGGATTAAACCAGGTAACTAGATTAGTTACATGAGCATTGTTAGTGGAAATGCAAGATTTAGAATAAATACTCAATGATAAAGTCATTGGTTAACTGGAGACAATTGGTGTGGATTTGTAAAATTATATTATTTGGAAACATTAATGCCACAGATATGTCCATGTCTCTAATTAATATTTCTTGGAGAATAAATCTCTTCCTGGCATTTTGTTTTCTGATGCAGTGGCAGAATGTGAATGGTAGAAAAGGGGAATAAACACAAACTGTATGTACTGAACTCTCTTTAACTGGCTGGATAGCTAGTGTGTCCAAGCATTTGTCACATGGGTTAAAATGTAATGGTCACTTGTATTCACAAGTGTGTCAGTTATAAAAATGCAATCTCACTGTTTCAAGCCACTTAAGTGTTAGGAGAATTCATATGTAGAAATCAATATGGATCATTGTAAAAATTCTGAATTTAATCCAGGATATTTCAGAACCTTCTTGGGCAGTACTCCAGGGTGTAATTTTTGGCTCAGTTTAAAGGGCCATCAATATCAGTTTAAGTAGTCATTTGTGTGCTAGATGTCTATTTAAAGATTGAGTAGATTTGATTGAGCATCCAATAATAAGTTGCTGCTTTGCTTTCTACTCTGACAGGATCAGTTGCTCCTATTTACTAACTTTCCTTATTGAATAAGCTGTTATCATGCTTGGCTGATGCTTGAGTTTGGTATAGCTGCTCTTTTAATATCTAGCTATTAATTATTTTTAGGCTAACTGATTTTTCACACTCCTCCTTAACACAACTTATTTGTAAATCAAACCAGGTAACTGTAACCAACAGTGGCCATACCAGCAAGCTTCTACCCAGTGGTCTCCAAATCAAGATAACTCGAGAAAACACAAGGTAATGTTGATACTCAGCATGTCAACTCAGCTTCTCCCTGCAGCCTGTTTAGTTTGGGCAGTCCACCCGCTTTTAGGGATGAGAGACGCCCTCCATTTCTGGCCGTTTGGATTTGTCCTGGAGCCCACCCAAATGGCTAAAACAACACAAGAGGCAAAGAAAGGAAGAACTTGCATTTATATAGTGCCTTTTGCATCCTCAAAATGCTTCACAGCCAATGAACAACTTTTGAATCACAGTCCCTGTCATGAGCATGTGCTAATTTGACATCTGTTTTGAGCAAAACCCAACAAACGTGAGTGAGCAGCCAAAACATGTTTGGCCCTGTTAGTGATAGGAGCAACATTGATCAGAAGAACCCGTCTGCTGCTGCCATCTAGTCTTTTCAATGTAGCCTGACAGACAGAGATAGGTCTGTTTAACATTTGTAAGATGGCATCTGTGACAATGCAGTAGTCTCGAGCTTCACTGACGTGTTGAACAGTTAGAATGTAGAACAGTGCAGTAACAGGTCCTTCAGCCCACCATGACTGTGCTGAGCATGATGTTAGTTCTAAACTAATTGTATATGCCTACATGTAATCTATATCTCTCCAATCCCTGCCTGTTGATATCTCTCTAAATGCCTCTTAAATTTGTTAGCCACCTTCCCTTGGCAGCGTGTTCCAGCACCTACCTCTGTGTGAAAAAACTTTTGTTGCATATCTCCTTTCAACATTTCTCCTCTCACCTTAAAGCTATGCCTCTAGTATTTGACATTTCCACGCCGGAAAAAGTCTCCAACTATCTACTCTATCCAAGCATTGTCAGGTCACCCCCTCAGCCTCTGATGTTGTAGTGAAAACAATCCAAGTTTGCAGCTACTTCTGGAATACCGGGTTCAATTTTGGTCTCCCTGATTTAGGGAGATATTATTGACTTCAAAGGGTTCAGAAAAGATTTACAAGGATGTTGCTGGGACTGGAGGGTTTGAGCTATAGGGAGAATAGGCAGGGGCTATTTTCCCTGAAGTGTCGAAGGCTGAGGCATGACTTTATAGAGGTTTATAAAATCATGAGGGGCATGGATAGGGTAAATAGCCAAAGTCTTTTCCCCAGGGTAAGGGAGTCCAAAACTAGAGGGCATAAGTTTAAGGTGAGAGGGGAAAGATTTAAAAGGGACCGAAAGGGCAACGTTTTTATGTAGAGGGTGGTGCGTGTATGGAATGAGCTGCCAGAGGAAGTGGTGGAGTCTGGTACAGTTACAACATTTAAAAGGCATCTGGATGGGTGCATGAATAGGAAGGGTTTAGAGGAATATGGGCCAAATGCTGGTATAAATGAGACTAGATTAATTTAGGATATCTGGTTGGCACGGACAAGCTAGACAAAAGGATCTATTTCTATTTCTGTTGTATACTCTATGACTCTCTAACAAACTCCAAACCAGGCAGCATCCTGGTAAACCTCTTTTGCACCCTCTCCAAAGCCTCCACGGCCTTGTGTTTTAAGTTTCAAAATTGGCAGAAGCTTGAAGGCAAAAGAGACAGGGAGGCTACATTTTGAAGTGGATAACTTCCCCTCATGGGTATTTCAGCATGTTATGTGCAGTACAGTAAGCATATTTGCTGAAATTTATTGTCATGTTGCAAGATTCAGAATTCTGCCTTGTTTCTGGAATTGCTGTTTAATTTTTCAGTAAATGATGATATTATTTTTGGCCTGAGTTGAGGGTATTAAACTGAACCATGAAGTTGAACCCAGAAGCTGTATGCTCTGGTTTGTTGTCACCACACTGTAAATGGGGCTAGCCAATGAACCAATTTGTTTTTCTGATTTGGTTTCCAAAAGCAGAAAAGGAAAAAGGAGCCAGTGTACACGCACTATTGTGACACCTGCGACCGAGGCTTCAAAAACCAGGAGAAATTCGATGAGCATGTGTCTCAGCACATCAAGGTAAGGGGATAGCAAGTTGTCCCAATTGTCATCTGTACAGCACACTGGAATGTGGACCCTGGGGGCAAGTTTTGTGTGGAGCGTTTGTATAGTGTCCGAAATACAAAAGCTTAAACGCACGTACCAACAGATTTGAGAGCAGCTTCTTTCACAGTGTTATCAGACTTCTGAATGGGCCTCTCAAATTTTAAATTTAAATGTTGATCTCTCTTTGTGTAGCCATAACATTATATTCATCGCTCTGATCTATTACCCTAATGCACTTTGTATGGCAATGATCTGCCTGTACTGCACGCAAAACGTTTCACTGTAACTAGGTACTATGTGACAATAATAAATCAAATCAAATCAAATCAAATCAAAATCAAAAGTAATTTTGTTAAACAACCTGCACCTACCTGAACCAGAAGTATTAAAAGTAACACATCTTCAATTTGCCACAACACAGATCTGGTGCAGGACTGGGGACCAGACCCTCAAATTTCAATTTAGAGCCTTGAATGCATAGTCCAGATTGATGGGATTAAATAATCCTCTAATGGCTCTTTGCATCCTATGTAGGCAGCTTCAATCACAATCCCATAGGCCAATCGTATACAATTGGTGCAGAATGAGACAATGTCTTTCAAACTTGCTTTACACAGTATAGAAAATAGGGGGGGAAATGATTTGTTTGTGGAAAAAGAAAGCTTTTGTGAAGATGGGATTGAACTGCAATCTTCGCCCAGTCGAGCGCAGGGTGCTTCACTCACTATGTGACTGTTAAATAGCTTGTACTGCCAGTGCTCAGCTATTTGCTGTTGGATGTCTGAATGAGAGGACTTCACTTCTCTGATATATGTTATAGACATGTCCTGGAGACAAACTTAGTGTGGGGAGGGTGAGAGCATTATTAAGACTGAATTGTAGAATTTTCAAACTGTCGGTACATTTCTGAGTTAAGTGACAGAATAATTGCAAAACATTGCCCATTCTGGGCTGAGTAATTACTTTCAATATGACAGACAATTTGCACAGATAGATTAATGATAGTTAGCTTATACTGTATTCTCAAAGTCAGTGTTTGATTGAGAGGCTTGCTAAGGATTCCTAAAACATCCAAAGTTAGGTAGCTCAATAAGCAGGACAAGATCAACATTCCATCCACTACCTTAAACATTCACTTCCTTCACCTCTAGCAAATGCTCTTTGCAGTGTATAACATCGACAATATGCACTGCAGCAACTTGTCAAGGCTTGTTTCAAACCACAACCCAAACTACAGCATCTAGAAAAGTGAGGGCCGCAGATACATGGGAACACCCAGTAAGTCTCTCATGCTGACTTGGATATCTCACCAGTACTTTACTGTGGCTGGGTCTAATTCCTTCCTAACTGCTGTGGGTGTACTTGTTTCAGATAGACTGCAATGGTTCAAGAAGGTAGCTCACCACCACCTGGTCCAACCAGTAGTGCTCACATTCCCTGAACAAACATTTAAAGAAGTGGAGGCATTGTACATTTAATTCTGTAGTTGTGAATGTTCTAACAAAATGTATGTCTGTCATTTGGCTATTTGGGGGACAGGCTGCTATGTAGCAAAGTTAGCCTAAAAGTACTTAAAAGTTCTGTTTAATTCCATTATTTCATGAAGTGATGTTTCTGGCTTTGTCTGTTCGCTTTCCAAATTTCCATCTGGGCAATGATATGGTTTAAAGAGCATTCTTTCTGAGGTCATTATTAGCCTCCTGTCACTAGATCATGCCACATAACTGCTTTTGACTGCAATTAAGTGGAATTCTATAAATGAGGTTATTGGCCCAGATATTCCAATAGATAGGCCCAGATAGTTTCATGTCCTTGCCCCTCCCTAATTCTGTCTGTTTTTGCAGAACAGTAGCTGCGCTCCACCAATCTGGCCTTTATAACATCCTTGATTCAAATCGTTGGTGACCATGGATTCCACTACCTAGGCTGTAAGCTTTGAAATTCTCTCCTTGAATCTCATTGACAATCTATCTTTCTTTAAGACATTCCCAATAGCCTGAGCATCATCAAGAAAAGACACATTTTGTTCAAGCTTTTTGATTTTTTTTTTATTCCATGGCAATGCTTGCATCAATCGGTATCTAATTAGCAACTAATCAGTCTCCTCTCAGTGTAAATGTTGTTTCCCCTCTGCATTGAAATTCTTGCAAATTGTCCTGATGAATGCAAGATGGAAAACTTGGACAAGATGTCTTTTTTTCAGGAATACAAAAATTTTTGTGAATGCTCCTTTTTAACCAAGCTTTTGGTCATCTCCCCAAAAATCACAGAATTCTATGGTGCAGAAGGTGGTCATTCAGCTCCAGTTTGGATACCCGGTGCCAACATCCTGCCCTTTTTCCCCATTTCCTCACACCATTTATATCTAAATAATCATCCAGTGCCCTTAATGCCTTGATTGAACCTGCCTCCACCATGCTTCCACGTAGTGCATTTCATACCCTGTGTGAAAATGTTATTCTCACATAACTCTTGCATGTTTTGCACCTCACTTTAAATCTATGCCCTCTGGTCCTTTTTCCTTTTCAGGTGGAGCAGTTTCTCCCTATCTGCTCTATCCAGCCCACACATGAGTTTGAAAAGCTATATCAAATCTGCTCTCAGCCCTATCTCCAAGGAGAACAGTCCCAATTTCTTCCACTGGTCCTCAGAACTGAAATTTCTCGTTACTGGGAACATTCTTGTAAATTGCTTCTGCTGCCAATTTACGTCTTTTCGACAATCATAGAGTCCCTGCAGTGCTGAAAGAGGCAATTCGGCCCATCAAGTCTGCACTGATCCTCCAAAGAGTATCCCACCCAGATCCCCAGCCTACCCCTGCAACCCCAATCCTACCTCAACCTGCACAACCCCGGACACTATATGGGGCAATTTAGCTTGGCCAATCTACCAAACCTGCATGTCTTTGAACTAAGGGAGGAAACTGGAGCACCCGGAGAAAACCAACGCAGACACTGAGAGTACGTGCAAACTTGACATAGTAGCCCAAGGCTGGCATTGAACTGGATGCTGTGAGGCAGCAGTGCTAACCACTGGGCCACCATATCACCCATAACTGTACACAGTACTCAAGCTCCAGCTGAGGTCTAACAAGTGTCTTGTATGAGTTCAATATCACCTCCCCACTCTTGTACTCCATGCCACTAATAACAAAGCCAAGAACACTGAATGCTTTATACTCCACCAATCCTGATCAATGATCTGTGTACATGCACACCAAGATTTCTCTGCTCCTGCACCACCTTTAGAATTGTACCTTCTATTTTATATTGTCTTTCAATGTTCTTCCAATCAAAAGCTTTATCTCACTCTTATCTGCATTGAATTTCATTATGCTACCTTTTCACCCACTCCTTTTGGAGTTCCCCGCAATTCTCCTCACAGTTTACAAGTGTTCCAAGTTTAATGTATGAAAACTTTGAACCTGTCCCCCACACCAAAGTGCATATCATTAAAAGGAAGATTTCTATGACCGACTCGTTGGGAACTCTGCTGTAAACTGCCCTTCAGCCTGAAAAGTATTGCCCAGATGAGAGAAGCAGTGCAGGTAAACTGATAGATGTCGGAGAGGAATTTAGCTTTCAGGTTTATGAGAGCTTTTCAGGTTTGATCTTTTTGCCTGAGTGTTTTGGCAGTAAGATACCCTTGTGGTGCGGTTTGAATTTTGTGATTGGGAATTCCAATGGAAGGAGTTATTTTGTTGGGTTAATTGGAGGTGAGCAAAGAGAGAGGGTGAAAAGAGGGCTTTCCGAAGCAGACCATCCCTAGCTGCCCCAACAAGTTTCGTGTGTGTACTGACCCAGGCAACACTCCCAACTGATAAGTCTGAAGCAGAACAGCTTTCAAGGACCTCTGTTCAACAGGCAATGGGGTGTGGTCTGCCAACTTGAATGTAACCTGCTGACAAGCTGCCCTGTGATCTAACCCTGCTGGTGGCAGATCCAATTGATTCATTCGCGGCATGGTGGCTCAATGCTGCCTCACAGAACCAGGGACCCGGGTTCAATTCCAGTCTCGGGCAACTGTCTGTGTGGACTTTGCATGTTCTCCCCTTGTCTGCGTGGGTTTCCTCCGGGTGCTCTGGTTTCCTCCCACAGTCCAAAGATGTGCAGTTTAGATGGATTGGCCATGCTAAATTGCCCCATAGTGTGCAGGTTAGGTGAATTAGCCATGGTTAATACAGGGTTATTGGGATAGGGTAGAGGGGTTGGGTCTGGGCGGGATGCTGTTCGGAGGGTTGGTGTGGACTTGATGGGCCGAAGGACCAGCTTCCACGCTGTGGGGATTCTGTTACAGTATCATCCAAAGGCCAGTGTGATCCCTGTCTGAGTGCACGCCTTTCATTAGCGTCTTCCTCTATGTTGGAGCTCATGGTAAATTAGAGGATGCATGACTTTTTAAGGTCGGCAATATTGAAAAGTCAAATATAACATTATACAAATATAATCCTTTGTCGTGTGATGTAAATCTCTTGGGTCTTTGAAATGAATTCCAGTTTCAGCTTGTAGTTGAGAACATTTTGTTTGACAGGTCAATTAGGGAGCGTGAGATGAGACAGGATCATCTAAGCTTGCATTGCAAATGCAAGAGAAAACGTTAAGTGCGTCAAAGTCATTTAATTTTAGACTTTCTTATATTTACACCCAGCTTTGAATATGTTTCATCAGTTTCATTTATTTCCTTGTACTCTGCACTGTATGTGAAGCCTGGCTTCATTCTTTTGGGAAGAGACCCATTCAGATTTGGCAGAATAAATTTGTGCAGGCTAAACTCCCATCAGATGTTTGTTATGCAACTGTCTTCTATCCACTGCATTTGCTGGAATTTTTAAAAATGCATTCATATGTGGATGCTGCTTGCTATTGCCAACGTTCAACAGCATCCCTCATTGCCAGAGGGTAGTATAAGAGCCAACCGCTTTGTGGGTCTAGAGTCACATGTAGGTAAGAACAGGTCAGTTTCCCTAAAAGATGATAGTGAAAGAGATGAGTTTTCCAACAATCTGCAATTGTTTCATGGTCGTCATTAGACGCTAAAGTATAGATTTAAAATAAATTCAAATTCCACCATCTGTCGTGACAGGATTTGAACCAGGTCCCCAGAGTATTACCTGGGTGTCTGGTTTAATAGTCCAGCAATAACACCACTAGGGCATTGTTTCCTCTAGATCCTCTTATCAGGCTGTAGTCTCTCAGTCAGGAGTTCTTTTTGCTCCTGTTCTTGAGACTGTTTAAATAGACTTGATGGCTAGTGTTAATTTTTCCTTAATCATAAAACTCATGGTTGTATATCTTTTTTGATGCTGTGGTACAGTGGAACTTTCACTGAGCTCTGAGTTTGATGAGCAAACTAAATCAAAAAACCTATGGGGGCAAGGAGAGAAAAGAATAGAATGTTACACTGTTAAGGTTAGTGAATGCTAGTACTGGCCGTTTTGGCCGAATGGCCCATTTCTGTGCTTTAAATTCCATGCCAAAATCTCTTTCTGTAAACTTTATTCTTTCAGATACTGTACAAGCCCAACCTCATATGCTTTTGTACATCTAAATACAGGCCACAACTTGATATTGCAACATAGTAAACGTTCTTGAAAAATTGTTTATTCTTTTAAGAAGTCTGCCAAGTGTCATCGTAAGACACCTTTATGTTAGCCAGAAGTAGTTTAATTAGCATGGGTGTGAGAGAACAATCTATCTCTATCAAAATCAAAATATTGCAATGAGTGTCTCGAAATAATACGTCACATTCGCTGCAATATGAAAGTTACCCAAATACTTTTGTGGGTTGGTACAGGTATGAGAATGTGTTTCATTAGCAACATTGTAATAGTATGTAGTGAATATTAAATTTGTTGACAAGGATTTGAAAATGATAACTGCTTGCAGGTGGATAAACTGTTGCTGTTTAATTCTGTGGATAAGTACAGCCTTCAGATTGCCTAAGGATTGGTTAAATTCCAAAAACTTATTGTGTATGAAGCAACTGAAGTGTAGTGGCCACGTGTAGGCTGATCTCGTGTATAGTTTTGTGACAACTTTGAGAGAAGGCAGCTTTGGTCTAAAGACAGTTGTTGGAGTTACTGAAACAAAAGGACATCGATAGAGAAGTCTCAGTGCAAATGAAAAGGGGTTCCACTTGTAGAGCATCTTCCAGGCCTGCAATGTGTCCTAAAGCTCATCCTGTCCAGGTAAGGAGTTCTGACATGTCACCACTCTCGTAATGTGGGGAAATGCAGCAGTCCATTTCAGCGAGATCCCACAAACAGCCATAAAGTAAATGATCAGGAAATCAGTTTTACTGAGGAGATAGATAATTTCTGGGAACACTGGAAGATCTCCCCGGTTCTTATACAAGTAGTGTGTAGTGTCTTGTTTCATCCATCTGAGGAACAGCATTGCTGACAGGGCTTTCTTGGTGGCTGTGTGTCTGGAGTAGGACTCGAACCCGTGGTTGTCAAAGTCATGTGTACTTCCACTGTGCCTAGGCTGATGGATATATCACTCATTCTCTGAAATGAGATGAACACAATAGACATGCAATGTTTCCAGTACAATTAGTTTTTATTAATGTTTCAACTTACAGGGCATAAGCTTTCCTAAACCAAGCAAGATTGCATTTTCTAATAGTAGAATTTCTTTGTTATTACTGCCTCTGCTGCACTTCAGTTTTGAAATGCAAATATCAGCTGAATTTCAGATTGGAGCAGCTTGTGTTAGAGCCCACTTGGGAAAATGGGCAATTCTGGATTTCGTGATGCGTCATGAGGCAGACTTGACTAAGGAGCTTAAAGTGAAGGAACCCTATTGCACAGTGACCATATAGATGATGGACCATGATAGAATTCACGCTGCAGTTTGAGAGAGAGAGAATCTGGAATCAGATGTAACGGAATTACAGTTGAGTAAAGACAGCTACAAAGACATGAAGGAGGAGCTGGCCAGAGTTGGCTGGAAGAGTGGAAGCCTATCAGGGAAGACAGTGGAGCAGCAATGGTAGGAGTTTCTGGGAATACTTCAGGAGGCACAACAAAAATTCATTGCAAGGAAGAAGAACCATACGAAGGGGAGGATGAGATAACCACGGCTGACAAGGGAAGTCAGGGACAGTGTAAAAGCGAAACAGAAAGGATACAATGTGGTGAAGGTTAATGGGAAGCCAGAGGTTTGATAAGTCTTTAAAAATCAGCAGAGGATAACTAAAAATGCAACAAGGGGGATGAAAATGAAATATGAGGGTAACCTAACGAGTAATATGAAGATTGCAAGAGTTTTTAAGCTTTGTAAAAGTTAACAGAGGGGCACAAATGGATATGGGACCGTTGGAAAAATAAGGCTGCAGAAGTAGTGATGGGGACCAAAGAAATGTGGAGGAACTGAACTGGTATTTTGCATCAGCCTTCACGGTGGAAGATATCAGCAGCATACTTGATGGGCCAAATGGCATGAATCTGCTCCTATATTTTATGGTCTAAGCAAGTTCTAGCATAAAATCATAGAAAACCTGCAGTGTGGAAAAAGGCTATTCAGCCCATTGCACCTGCACTGATCCTCCAAAGAATATCCCAGCCAGACCCAGCTCCTCCTCCCCCCCCCCCCAAACCCTATCCCCATTAACCCACATTTACCATGACTCATTCACCTAACCTGCACGTCCCTGGACACACTGGGCAATTTAGCATGGCCAATCCACCTAGCATGCACATCTTTGGACTGTGGGAGGAAACTGGAGCACTCGGAGGAAACCCACGCAGATACGGGGAGAATGTGCAAACTCCACACATCTCCCAAGGCTGGAATTGAACCAGGGACCCTGGCACTGTGAGGCAGGAATTCTAATCATTCAGCCACCGTGTCATGCAGTTTTGTTTCAGGGTTATTTCAGAAAGGGGAAAAGGTCAGTTTGATTGAACAAAGAGGAGGGTGAATCTGTCTTGTTTGAGTATCAAGAGCACCAGTGGATGCAAATAAAGTTTGACAAGATAGCACAAATATTATTAACCCATATTGTTCTGTCTGTTTCTGGCAGTGCAACGTGAAGGACTGTACCTTCAGTGCCCACGAGAAATTGGTTCAGCTTCACTGGAGAAACGTAAGTGTTGTATTGAATCAATTTAATCAATTGATGAGGGAATGTTTAAAAGAGATGTGTGAGGCAAGCTTATCACACAAAGGGTAGTGAGTGCCTGGAACATGCTGCCAGAGGAGGTGGTGGAAGCAGACGCATTAGCAACATTCAAGAAACACCTGGATGAATATATGAATATGAAAGGAATAGAGGGATATGGATCCTGTAATTGAAGACTGTTTTAGTATGGAAGGGCAAAATGTGTTGGTGAGGAAGGGTCACCGGACCAGAAACGTTAACTCTGATTTTTTTCTTCACAGATGCTGCCAGACCTGCTGAGCTTTTCCAGCAACTTCTGTTTTTGTGCTAAATGTGTTGATGCAGCTTTGGAGGGCCAAAGGGCCTGTTCTTGTGCTATATTGTTCCTTGTTCTTAATTGTTTGTTTCGTGAAGGACTAAAACAATGCAAGTGTTTTTTGACGTGTGGCCCACAGGCTGGTTTAGAATGCAAGTCACTGATATGTAAAATCACAACTGAGGTCATAGGAGAACACAGGCCGGAACACTCATCCTCAGCATTTGTGATGGCACTCAACCAGTCCAGCTTGTGTGTGTGACTCATATGAACGAATGTAAGCATGAACGACAGCAGTGTTTCATAAGCCAAGGTGTATGTGATTGTTGCAACATACAACCGAGAGATTATATTTCTCAGCACTGTGGGGCTGAAGAGAAGACTCGCTGAACGTGGAGTCCAACGTGAGACTGAAGCTCTGCACCTTGGGACCAGAAGTCGACTCACTGAAGCCTTATTAAACACAGTCTCCCCATTAATTCTAACAATTTGTGATTTTTTTTTTTGCAGAGTTGAGCAAAAGTGGGTGGGAAAGATGCTCTAAGGAGTCTTTTTCCCTCCACCTAAGATGATAACATTTGAGAACCACAAGCTTATCGTGCTAAATTTGAGTTTTCGATCTGTTATTTCATTTTGAAAGTTAAGTTGGATTGTTGTGACAAAATATGTTCCTCTCTGTTTGATCCTTTTGTTACTTGTGCAGGCACATGGGCCAGGCGCTAAAAGAATCAAGCTCGATACTCCAGAGGAAATCGCCAAATGGCGCGAGGAGAGGAGGAGGTGAGCTGGTCACATGACTTTGAAAATGGCAGAGGTTAAGGTGCAGCCCAAGGCCACCTTCATAAGTATCATTTCTGGAGCAAGAGACTCGGCCTGAGATTTCCGACCTGGTGAAGAAGTTGTGTTTCTGAGATATTCAGCCTGGGTTTGAAAAATCTGCCAACAGTGAGAAGTGGGGCAGACTGAGTAGAGGGAAGAGCTTCACAGCCATATGAACAGTTGTGCTGTTGTTGGAAATAACCTGTGCTGAATAGGAGACTTAGCTTTAAGGCACTGGGATGTACGCAGGAGGAGGAGTGTGCAAGCCAAGGTTTTTGTAAGTTGGAAAGAACGGGAGAGGAAAGTTTACAGCAGTAGTGAGTGCACTGAGTTGATGACGGCCCAGTCTTTCCCCGGCTGTTTCTATACACTCTGACCCCAGTGGGTGTTCAGGAGTCAGAATTACTTGAATTTTCATTGTGACCTCCAGATTCCATTCCTTGACCAAAGAAGGAGGGATATCACAGCCCTGAACAATGTAGTCTAATCTGACAGTCAGACCTCCCACTAGTTCTTGCTTCGCAGATTTTAATCTGCAAAAGGAAAAAAGCCCTTTTCTTCAAGTAGTCATTTATCTTCTGCTCACAACTCAGTACTTTCACTGCATTAAAGATCAGTGCCCAATTTATAATTATTTGGGTTCTGTAACAACTGGTATTTTTATAGCAGCTTATCGTGTAGTAGAGATATCCCAGTATGCTTCACCCAGGGTGAGGTGGTTTTGAAGTGAAGTCACTGTTGCTACATAGCCAGTTGTGCGTTCTAAAATCCCACAACAGTAAGTAAATAACCGGTTAACTTATTTTGCTTGTGTTGGTTGAAGAATGAATGTTGGCCTGGCTAGAGAACTCTGTTCTCTGCTTTGAATAGTCCCTTGGAACCTTTAATGGCGTCTGGAATGAGCAGGCAGGTCATTGCATTGAGGTCTCCAAAAGTTGGAATCTCTGACCATAAATCAATTGTTTTATATTTTACTGAAGTGTCAGCAAAGTTGAACATACTTGCAGTAGGCCTTCTGCTTCGAAGGCAAGATTATCAGTGACAGAGAGTCCATCAGTTTCATATTTTGCATTTTTGGGGGTGTATGTGTGCTCGATTCATGCTGCAGTGCTTGTTTCCAGCCTGCATGGTTTGAATGGTTTTGATAGTTACATATGTGCTGCGCTTGAGGGAACTTGCAGATTGTCTATAAGTTGCATATCTCTCTTTTTAACAAGAAAAAGTTCAACTTTGAAAGACACAGTAAAAAGTGGCACACACTGAGTTGTACCCCTAACATGATGCTTCGTGAAACTTTGAGCAAAGTATCACAAGCCTGTCTCCAATTTGTTCCCTTACTGGATTGCCTTTCTGACAAGCTGCTGGAATGTGCCTGGCTAATTGTTTCCCTGAAAATGATCCTTGAACAAATGATCAATTCACTTACTTGCTCGGAGGGGAACGGTACTTGTCAAAAGGTTGTGAATTCTTTCACCAATGAGATGCCTACTGACAGTCCATCTTGTTGTGAAATGGTTTGTTCTGTTACTTGCTATTGGAAAAAATGGTCACACTGCAGATTGTTTGAAGACTTTATCAATTGGAGCAAGGGATCTTGTATCAGACATGGACCCAGTGGAGAGAGTGACTGCCTGTATTTTGTAGTGGAAATCCTGCTCCTTACAGATTGAAAGAACTGAGTGGGTGAGTTCATGACTGGAACATAGAATGCGCCACTGCAAGTGGCAATTGAGGCGAAAGATCAAACTGCCTGATAAAGGAAATTGAAGTAGTTGAAAAGTAAAAACTATAAAAGGTAGACAAGGGTATGGAATTAGACTCCAAGCTCCAATTGAAGAGTTGGTGCTGCCACAGAGAGTTTGTTAGCTGGTTCAGCTGTTGGAATTTCTTGGGTCCAGCACTTTGACCTGTTCTACATATCGTGGCTCCGAAATTGTTGAATCAATGCAGCCTTTATATTGGCAAACAGGTGCCTGATTTATTCTGAAGTGCGACGTCTTTGTTTCCAAATCGTAGAGACTGTATGTTGGCACCAGCAAAATTCAGACCCACCACAGTGTTCAGCCTCATGCTCAGCAGACATGGAATTTTTTTTTTAATTGTTCTCCCCTCTCAACTTTATAAAATTATCTCAAGGCACCTTGCTACTTGCTTTAGTATCTTGCCCAGAATGTCATTCTTCACGTTTCAGCTTAAACGCTGCATGTCAATGAGTGTGCAATTTCTACACCGGGTTATTCTCATTCCTGATTTCTTGCCTCTTCCAATCTGGTGACTTTGAGATCAACTGTTATGTCATCTTGTGAGGGAAAGGAATCTGACGATCAAACAGTGTGATCTTTATTGGTCATTATTAGTGTGCACCCATTGCAGATGTCACCCCGTAATGCCAAATTTTTAAAATGTACAAACTATGCCCCACTAAGTACTCATGTTGTTGGATAATTAGTGAAGATATGTATTGTTATCCATCTTGCAATGTCATACAAATTTTAACTATAATCATAAGGTCTGATCCATGGGGCCCTTAGAGTATGGTGTATGCTTTTTCAGAAAGATGTACAGTTGCGAACATTTCAAAGAATGGGACTGCTGTTGGTTTTAATAAGCTAAGTTTTGCACTTTGGCTTCTTACAATCTGTGCATCAGCCCTCTGTGTAGTAAACTATATTTTAGTGCAGGGTATGATTTTGTTTTGAAGCCATTATGCAGAACTGTTTTTCGTCTCCTAGGTATACTTTAATAGGGGCAAGCTGGGAGAATGAAATTGGAGGATGGAGGTTTTTGAGAAGTGATTACACTCTCCCTTTACACATGGGAAACCACATTTCAGTGTTTCTGTCTGTTGGTTGAGGCTGTGCCAAGCAAATTTCAAAGAACTGAGCTTTAGCACAGCAGTAAACATGGAATGCAGAGAAAGAAAACAATTCCAAAGCAGTAAATTGTCAATTTTAAATAAATTGGTAATTAATAAAAAGGTCAATTAATTCCGCTGAGGAACAGAGCTCTCTAAGGAAAATTGGGTTGGTAGCAGATCCCGAGAAAAGGAATTTGTGGAATGTCTACAAGATGCATTTTTTTTCTTTTGGAGCAGCTTGTGGTAGAGCCCACAAGGAAACAGGGAATTCTGAATTTGGTGATGTGTAATGAAGCAAATTTGATTAGGGAGCTTTAATGTGAAGGAACCCTGAGGGGATTGTAATATGATAGAATTCACTCTGCAGTTTGAGAGGAAGAAACTGGAATCAGATGTAGCAGTATTACAGTTAAGTAAAGACAACTGCAAAGACATGAGGGAAGAGCTGGCTAGAGTTGATTGGCAGGGGAGCCTAGCAGGGCAGACGGTGGGGCAGTAATGGCAGGAATTTCTGGGATAATTTGGGAGGTACAGCAGAGATTCATCCCAAGGGGAAAAAAACATACTAAGGGGAGGACAAGGCAACCATGGCTGATAAGGGAAGTCAGGCTCAGCATGAAATGAAAAGAAAAAGCATATAATGTGGTGAAGGTTAATGGGAAGACGGAGGATTGAGAACCCTTTAAAAACCAGCAGAGGATAACTGAAAAACAATAAGGTGGTGGGGGTGCTGGAAGAGAAGCTGAAATATGAGGCTAAGCTAGTTAGTGATAAGATTGCAAGATATTTTCAGATATCTAAAAGGTAAGAGGGAGGCACGCATAGACTTTGGACCACTGGAAATTAATGTAGCACCCCTGTTTAAGAAGAGATGGAGGCAGACGACAGGAAACTATAGGCTAGTTAGCCTGACCTCGGTCATTGTAGGTTTTAGAGTTCGTTATTAAGGATGAGATTGTGGAAAATTTGGAAGTGCATTGTGGAAAGGGCTGAGTCAGCGCAGTTTTGTCAAGTGACGGTCATACCTGATAAATCTGTTGGAATTCTTTGAGGAGGTAATGAGCAAGTTAGATAAAGGAAAGCCAGTGGATGTGATCTATTTGGATTTCCAGAAGGTCTTTGACAAGGTTCCACACGGGAGGCTGCCATGTAAGATGAGAGGCTATGGTGTTGGGGGGCGAGGTACTGGCATGGATAGAGGACTGGCTGTCTGTCAGAAAGCAGCAAGCCGGGGAAATGGAGTCTTTTCCAGGATGGCAGCCGGGAACTAGTGGTGTTCCGCAGGGGTTCATGTTGGGACCACAATTATTCATGTTACATATTAATGATCTGGACGAAGGAACTGAGGGCACTGTTGCAAAGCTTGCAGATGATAGAAAGACAGGTTGAGGGACAGGCAGTGTTGAGGAAGTGGGGAGGCAGCAAAAGGAATTGGACCGGCTGGGAGAGTGGGCAAAGACCTAGCAGAACACACAGTTGAAAAGTGTGAGGTTATGCACTTTGAGAGGCATAGACTAGTTTCTAAATGACAAAAAGCTTCGGAAATCTAAAGTGCACAGACAGTTGGGAGTCCTAGTTCAGGATTCTCTTCAGTTTAACATGCAGGTGTATTTGGCAGTTAGAAAGGCAAATGCAATGTTAGCATTCATTTCAAGAGGTCCAGAATACAAGAGCAGAGATGTACTGCTGATGCTGTGTAAGGCTGTGGTCAGACTGTATTTGGAATATTCTGAGCAGTTTTAGGCCCTGTATCGAAGGAATGGTGTGCTGGCATTGGAGTAAGTGTGAAGGATGTTTATAAGAATGATCCCGAGGATGAAGGGCTTGTCATATGAGGAGTGGTTGAGGACTCTGGGTCTATGCTCGAAGGAGTTTAGAATGGTAAGGGGGAGGATTTGATTGAAACTTACAAAATACTGACAGGCCTGGATAGAGTGGATGTGGAGAAGAGGTTTCCACAAGTTGGAGAGACTAAGACTCAAGGGCACAGCCTCAGACTGAAGGGATGACCTTTTAGAACTGAGATGAGAAGGAATTTCTTTAGCCAGATGGTGGTGAATCTGTGAAACTCATTGTTACAGAGAGCTGGGGTAGCCAAGTCATTGAGTGTATTTAAGTCCAATAGGTTCCTGATTAGTAATGGGATCAAAGGTTACAGGGGCAACAGTATGCGGGGTGAGAAACCTATCAGCCATGATTGAATGGTGGAGCATATTTGATTGTCCAAATGGCCTAATTCTGCTCCTATATCTCATAGTCTTTTATTGCCTTTTTGATTTAGAAATACAATTAGAGAGAGAAAAAGATTTGGCACCAAGCCTGTTCACTGGGGAAAGAGTGGTGATTACATCTCAAAGCATTTAATTGCTTAGGAACCACTTCAGGACACCCTGTTTGTGACAGTAACCACTGTTGCGAGATAGAAAACTGGTTGCTGGTTTGCACACACCCTGGCCCCACAAGCAGCAATGTGATAATGACCCGACAGTCTGGTTTCAAATGTAAGTCGGGGAATAAATGTCAACGAAGACCACAAGGAAGCCTTTCCTGGTCGTCTTTAAAAGTATTAGAGATCTTTTCCACTCATGTAAGAGGGCACTCAAGGGTTCTTGTTTGACATCTCAAGCAAAATACAGCGCCTCTGACAATGTACCCTTTCACTACGTCACTGCAAATGTAGATTTTCTGCTCGAGTCTAGAGTGGGACTTGAACAGACAATCCTCTAACTCCAAGATGAGCGCAGCCAGCTAAACTACAGCTCCAACCTCCGCTCTGATGACTTGCATTCATTTGTGAACAAAAGGATCTTCAGCTGGTAATGTTCTCCCAGGACCTAAGCTGAAGGTTTCCTCGTTCATGTGTCAGGTCATAGCAACTCAATGTAAATGGCTTTTTCATCCAGGAGGAAAGGAATGGTGCTTTAGGCTATTTTAGTGCAGCTCCTATTTTATGATTAAGACACATCATAAATCAAGTGGAACAGCTTAACGTCTGACGCTAGCTGCACTTATCAATATTTTCTAATCCGTCTGATTCAGAAATGCTGTCACACGCCTCTGGAGAAGGTGGGATTTGAACCTGGGTCTTCTGACTCGGAGGTTGGGACGCTATCACTGCACCACAAGAGGCCCCTAGCTGTACTTGTATGTTTGGTTCCTATCAGCTGCAGTGTCATGATGTGATCATCTGATCTGGCAAAACCATTTGAAAGGCTGAAATTCTGTCTTATGTTTTAAACAGTTGTTGACGGGCGGTCATTGTCTAATTTTTATGTTTCAGGAACTTTCCAACTTTGGAAAATATAGCAAGAAAGAGGAAAATGGGTCAAGACAAAGAGGAACGAGGAGAGGTGCTGCATACACAGCAGTTTAAGTAAGTGAAAACCAAAAGAAGATGCTGGAAATTAGAAACAAGAATAGAAACTGCTGGAAAAGTTTAGCAAGTCTGGCAGCACCTGTGGAGAGAAATTGGAGCTAACGTTTTGGGTTCAATGACATTGTCTCAGAACTGATTGTAACTAGGAAAAGGTTGTTTTTTTTTTTTGCAAAAGATAGGGTTGGGGGAGTGGGCTAAAGAGTAAACAATAGCTGGAGATAGAGCCCAACGAGAGCGAAGAACAGTTGGATAGACAGAGGGGTGGATAACGGTCAGCCTAAGAGAATGAATAGTTATTAATGGGGACTATTAGTGGCTATCAATGGGTTGTGTGTAATAGCAGACTATGTGATAACAAGGCCTGGTGTGTAGGGATTGGGGAAAGGACACAGGAGAAGGTACCTCAAGCTCGAAAGTTGTTGAACTCGATATTGAGTCCAGAAGGCTGTGGAGTTCCCAAGCAGAAAATGAGGTGCTGTTCTTCCAGCAAGTGCTAAGCTACGCTGGAGCACTGCAGCAAGCTTACATTCTGTCTGCAAAAAAGACCCTGGGCTTCCACTTGCCTACCTCTTCAACGCACCACTGTGTTCCCTAGCCAACGGCTCTATCTGAAGCTTGCTGCAGCGCTCCAGCGAAACTCAGCACAAGCTGGAAGAACTGCACCTTGGGCTTTAAGGCAAACTCCTGTATCTCACTGCTAGATTCTATGACATTTTCCCTAAGCTACAAGTAGAATTAAAGTAGAATTTTGCAATTTCTAGTGCACTTAATACCAAGACCCATCTAGAATTCCACCGTACTCAAGTTTACAAACCTTTTGGTGTGATCTATCTAGTGCGGTACTGCAAGAAAACATCACATGTTTGTCCATTGTGTGTACTTCCACTGTCCTGGCTGTGATGAGGTACTGAGTTTTTCTAAATGAATACAATAAGATAGTGTCAATTGCAATGTTGCTTAGATGGGGCTAGTTTTAATTAAATCAATGCATATTCCAGGGACAGTTTTAATTCGTTCTCAGGATGTGGCTGTTGCTGACAAGCTGGCCCTTTGTTGCTCATCTGTGGTTGTCCATGGATTGGTGATGGTGAGCCAAAATGCTGCAAGCAAAGGGTTTCTCTGACTTAGATACATGATGATTGAGGAGTGGACGTATATGGCCAGTGATGGTGCGTAACTTAAATATGTTGGTTACAGTAAAAATACTGTGTTTCACGCAAACACCATTCTACGAAGCTGGGGTTATATTTTTCTCTTGATAAATACGTGTGCGCTCTTGAGATAAATCACTGATCAGTATAAATGTGGAGTGTCTCACTGTTATCCTGCAGGCATTTTTTTGGCAAATGCATACTAAAGAAGCATTTACACAAGGGAGATTAAGTAATTTTTTTCTTTGTTTTTTGGGTGAGTTTTTTTTTAATTCGAGTGAACTGTCACAAATGATTCCTTTTTTTCATGTCTACGCTTTAAAGCCCACAGTGACCGGTATCAGTGTGTCAAACAGCAAGCTGGCTTTTACTTTCCAGCTTTAGACTTGTGTTGCTCTTTGCTGTTTACTTATGGATTACAGAGCAGTGATAACTTGTTTCTGACCTCACTTTCTTGCCAGCAAAATGAAGGGAAGATGGAAAACCCCTTCCAACAGCAGACACCAAAGAGGTTTGGGCAGGAAGTTTAACAAAGGACATGGAGGTCACTTTGATGGACCATTCAATGGTGCACAGGAACAGCAAAACGCAAGCGAGCAGGATGGTCCCAGCCAATCCAACGAGGCAACGTGCAAACCACCAGAAAACCAGGAGAACCAAGCTTGTGGCAAAAACATCGACCCTCTCGGCATATTGGCACAAAACGATGCAGGTTCAAGCTTGAGACTTCTCTCAATATCTTTATCATAATTGTGCAGCACTTTTAGGGTGGGACACAAGAATGAGAAGTAGTTTTTATTTAAACATATAGTTATATGGTATTTATGACAACAGACCAAAGTGGTTTACTGCCAGTGGAAATATTTTTGATTCATGCTTCCTATAAGAAGTGCCATAGCTAATCTGAGTGCAGCAAGCATCCGTA